TCGGAGTTATATATTAAAAATGGTCCTGGCTATTCCAAGCTCTATCATTGCAGTCAGCGGGTGTTGCTGTTGAACAGTCCACAAGTCGTCAAATAAAGCTCATGCATCCATAATAAAACGTGCCTTACACGGCTCCGGGGGGCGGTGAATAAAGGCCTCCTGTAGCAAATCCATGCGCTTTTGTGCAGAAAATAGTATTCTGAAGAACAATATCCATATTACAAACGTAATAAACACTTTTCTCTCACTTCCGTTATCTATCATACGTGGAAGCCATTCCGGCAGATGTATGCGCAGCGCACGTGCCTCTGAGATATGCTAGTCTCGTGAGTTTGTTTATAGTAGCAAAAGAAGCAAAGTTTCCTTACTTTAGCAAAGGAAAACGTCTCCAGGTTACGAATGGGATAGTTTTTGGGATAGTTCACCCAAAAATATAAATTCTGTCATTATTTACATTATTTTCCAAACCTGCATGCTGTTATTTCTGTGTGATCTTTCGATCAATGCAAATTCAGCTTTTTATTATTATTTTTGTCTCATGCAAGTTTTCTAAGACAAAATGTTAACCTGAGGGAGGGAAATTAATAACAAAACAGGACCACAATTGATTTCAGTAGTTAAACACAAAAATACTAACTACTCCTACTGTCATTAATACTATTTATAAATAAATTTTAAAAAGCCTCAGTAAATTCATTTATTTTGGTCCACAAAATTCTGAAGAAAAAAAAGTCCCTCAAGATCCTGATGTGACTGAATGATATTTTTGCTATTTTGATTTTCATTGAAAAACATCCACATATACGTTTGGACATGATGGTGAATAAATGATGACAGAACTTTAATTTTCACATGTTTCTTTAAGAGGGGAAATCTGATTTTATATGATCTTAAATCTTAAATCATCTGGTGGCAGTAGTTTGTCTGTGATGGATTATGGTTTGCTGAATGTGTGCCGAGCTCTTCTCACCCTCACTGAGTGTTAATGAGTGAGAGCTGATAAATGACCAGCCATATCCTACTGAGATAGTATGAGCCACCACATCTGTTTCTTTTCTCTCTCTCTCTCTGTCCCTCAGCAGGGAGGAGGATGTGGGTGATACATATGAGAGCGACTCACTTCAGTCTCCTGTGAGACTAGACAGACGCCGCTGGTCCATTGTCCTTAGATGGTGATTAGAACATGGCCAGCCCTGAAACCGCTGCACATATATTAATCATTTAGACTCAAACTCACTGCACAGTGTTTTTAAACATGAATCGTGTCACTCTTTAATATTCAAATACTTTAGTTTGATATGGGTTTATTTCCCAAAAAAAGTGTTAAAAGTGTCTCTCAACCCGTCCAGTTGTGTGGGACTACCTGTTATTTTTGACCAATGAGAGATCAGCATGGAATTTGATTTAAAAAACAGATTGTTTTTCTTTGTCTGTGTACTGTATGTAGTTTGATATACAATAGAAAGTAGAAGTCATGTGTGGCTTTATATATTGTCAGTTATGTAATCCCAGATGAAACATTTCCTAGTAAACATTAACTGTATATATAGTTATTCTACAGTTATGTAAATATGACTGTATTTTAATCCACATGGACTCAGGTTACTAGCTAAAGAATATACAAAAAAAATTCAGAAGAAACTGTATGTCTACTGAACTTAATTATTAGAGATTATTAACATCACATAAGAGCACTTACTAAAAGTAATCAGATTCCCCTAAATGTTAACTTTGCTCACCCAATTAAATATTTTGAGGAGTTTTTGCCGATATGAACAAACAGAACACTGGACTTCATTTAATAAGGCATAAACAAAAATCACACCTTGGTTGTTTGTGGTCAAAATAGACCGACCATAGGAAATGAATGATAATGGCCCTAAATTTAGGAGGGTTGGGCTGGTCGGGATGGTCCAAATATTGGTGAAAATTGCACAAGAGGTGGAGGCAGTGCCTCCGTCTCACTATGATTGGCCGGTTCACTAGTCAATGCAATAATGCCTGCCTATAATGTTCTCTTGATCAGTATGATTGGCTAATATTCCTGTCAATGGGATAATGCACCTTTCACGCTCACAACAGGATGGTAAATCAGTCTAAATGGGTCAGACTGCTGTAAATGGATGGGTTAATCACAGAGCACAGATAATACGTGACTTTTAGTCTTTTAGAGAGCAATCAGCTGTTTCTTTTTTCTGAATATTATTGTTGACTAATGGTCTGAAAAGGTGACTTAAAAGGATCGTTCGCCCAAAAATTTAAATTCTGTCATTAATTAATCACCCTCTTGTCGTTCCAAACCCATAAGACACAAATTAAGATATTTTTGAGGAAATCCGAGAGCTTTCTGAGCTTCCATAGACAGCAATGCAACTGAAATGTTCCAGAAAGGTACGTTGTTAAAATAGTCCATCAGTGGTTCAACCTTCATTTTATTAAGCTCCGAGAGTAAAACAGAAAAACAACTTCATTCAACAATTTCTTCTCTTCCTTGTCAGTCTTCAAGGCACATTCACAAAAGTACCGCGACACATGGTTATTGGAAGCAATATAAAAATAAACATTAAGATTTTAAAGGGTTACAATAATTATTATGTTCATCATTTTTGATCGCTAATTGTTTAGTCAGAACGGTAGAGGCCTGTTCTCCTTCATCTTCTCTTCTAGCTAGTTTTTGCTCTGTGCCACAGTGTCCAGCTCAGTTTCTTTTTCTGCTGGCAAAATAGCAAGAGCTTTCAAAAAACATATACAATGGCTTTATTAATAACAGGAGATGACCGTCGGCCTGCCAGTTTGGCACAACTTGCGTTGTCGTTTTGTGAGTCGGAGCCCAGCGTCTCTCCTTCTCTTTCTCTCAGGGCTGAGAAGTGTGATTGCAGCAGACGGATACATTGACATAAGGGAATACTCAGGAGTGATCACAGTTCTTATCCTCCACAGAGAGAAGGAAAAGAAGAGAGAGAAAGAGTGCAGTTCCTCCCCTGTGGCCTTGTTTCCTTTCCTAGTGAAAGCGTCTGACATTTCTTCAATATGGTGCCTTTGTCACAGTCGTGCCCCCCGGTTTATTGATCACTGCCTCTGCATGGCCCCTCATAACACTCAAACAGATGTACACACAGCTAATGGATTAGTTTGCTCAAAAATTAAATATTTGTATTTAATCTGACATATGGTGAGAAAATTATAACAAAGTAATTTTTGAGTGAACTGTTCCCTTATACTGTATGTACTATAAGGTCGGAAGAAAACCAACCGGCCTTCTCAACAATAGCGTCTAGGAGAGACTGGTGTTTTTTCTTAGGACATGTAGTTGAGTGATGTCAGGTAGTAGGCATATTTTCTGCATGCTGTTCTTTAGTTTTTGTTGTTTACTTTACTTGTTGTATACTGACAAATACTGCTCACATGGTTTTCTATATATGGTAACAAATACTCTTTCACAGGTATGTTTGTCATGATTAATCGTGTTTTCAGCATCTGTCGTCTCAATATGTGTGGATAAAAACTATTGTCATATTATATACACACAGAAACTAAATGATCGTAACATGTATGATTCATACATGTATACATGTTTTGAGGTGCAGGACCTTATTTGTCAAAAATAGAAATGCATGTGGTGTTTTCAGCATCTGTCGTCTCAATATGTGAGGACATGAACACATGCACTTCATCTCCGGAGCTGCTCTGAGAGTTACATCATGAGCATTTCATGGTTTCATTTGATAAATCTATATTGTCATATTATATACACACAGAAACTGAATGATCTTCATGATAACCCAACAAAATAAAAGTTTGGTTAAAAAAATACATTTCAGATTAATAATAGTCTTTTTTGAGGAATTTTTCATTCATTTCGTTAATTTTGAGGAGCAGCACCTTAATTGTCAAAAACAGAAATGTAATGTTTTGTTGTAAATTATATCTTAATTTGATCTCGTTGTAAGAGAATGTTTCAGTTCTTAACATTTTATAAATTAATTTCATTAGACACCATTTTTGTTGATACATTTGTCTTGAATCATACAGAATTTCAGAAAAATAAAATAAAATAAAATAAATTTCATGGGGCCCAAAATTAAAATGTATAAAAGTTCATTCATTCTTGAGGTCTAAAAACATGTGGAATGCATTTTTCCCCATTAGTGATATAAAATTAATATTGTGTATTGCATGATATGAAAAAATATATGTATTACGATAATATTTTGTCCATATCACCCAGTCTTACTTCATCTCATTTGAATCATTAGTAACCATTACAATAAGCTTATAGTTTTTGACATTAATTGACATGAACTAACAATGAACAATACTTATAAAGCATTAATTATTTCTTAGCTGATGTTAATCTCAGCATTTACTAATACATTTTATTACATGCTGTAAAATATGTTGAGTTGGTTAATACTTTAACTAATATTAACAAAATTAGGTCTTATTGTAAAGTGTAACTGAACCATTTTAAACATCTCTCAAAAGCACCATTTATAATAGTGGAAAATTTTGCACCCGAGTGAGTGAGTGAGTGAGTGCACAATGTTGAGTAATATTCTATTCTAATTCTATTCTTTAAAAAACTTGCCCCTTTTAGACTTGCACTCTATTCATTTACTAAGTGCTTGTTTTATAAAAAAACACTAAAACTAGCTTCTCTATTCTTTTTGTATTCTATTTGTTTTCTTTTATTTATTATACAATGAACAAAAAGCAAAAAAGGGCTCTAACACTAGCTTGCTCTATTCTTTTTCTATTCTATTTGTTTTCTTTTTATTTATTTTGTTGTTAAAAAAAATCTTGCTACGTGTATTGCGTTAGTTTAACTTAGACTCGTTATAGCACTTGCATATCATTGCTCTTTTGTTGATTTTGATTGCTTCCATTGTCCTCATTTGTAAGTCGCTTTGGATAAAAGCATCTGCTAAATGACTAAATGTAAATGTAATGTAATATATTGAATAATGGTTGAGAATGTGCATTTGTGTGTGTTTTTGCAGCAGGAAGCTGTGAGAATGAGGAGCGCGTGTTTCGTGAACGCATGCGTCCCAGGAAAAGGCAGGGAGCCGTCCGGAGGAGGGTGCATCAAGTCAACGGACACAAGTTCATGGCCACCTACCTGAGACAGCCCACCTACTGCTCGCACTGCCGTGACTTCATCTGGTGAGTCCCGCAGTGGCCGTCGCCTGGTATTTACAGCCCTGTAGCGTGCTGTTTGTACAGCTGTGTGCGTTGGTAAATCTGCATCTGAGTTTTGACAATGACATAACCAGTGTACACTGTCCCTCCTCACGGGTGGTTTACCCTCAGTGGGCTGCATTTCCATGGTAACTACAGGAAAAGCCCTGAGGCTCAGAGCAACAATATGAGCGTATTGAGTGCGTCTGGCCTCCTCCACACTGCGCAAGAACACCGCCATGCACAGGCACGCTGTGTCCCGCCTCTCTAGAGAACAGAGGAATATGGCTGTTTTAAAAAATAAGGTGCAGAGCTGATGTGTGGGACTAAAACTGAAAGACGAGCAGTGAATAACAACACACACATCACGAAATCTACAATTAATTAAAGGTTCACCCAAAAAAGGATATTTCCTAAAAATGTACTCACCCTCAGGCCATCCAAGAAGTAGATGACTTAGTTTATTCATTTGAAAAGATATGGAGAAATGTAGCACTGCATCACTTGCTCAGCAATGGATCCTCTGCAGTGAATGGGTGCCGTCAGAATGAGAGTCCAAACAGCTGATAAAAACATCACAATAATCCACAAGTCATCCACACCACTCCAGTCCATCAGTTCATGTCTTGTGAAGTGAAAAGCTGTGTGTTTGTAAAAAACAAATCCATCATTTTTAAACTGGCTAAAATACAAGTCCTCTCTCATTAATATTGCTTTCACCAGTGAAAAAGTCGTCTCATCTGAATCATGAGAGAAATATGCACATATCAAGCACAAGTGGAAAGTGGAAACAGTCCAAACTATAGTTCTGAACTAATATGTTGGTGGATTTTGATGTGAGAGGACAGCGGGGGTAGACCTTTTCACTGGAGGAGGCATCATTATGGATTATGGAATCATATTTTGCACAAAATACATGATTTCAAGTAAAAATGCCTTAATGATGAATTTGGAAACATGCAGCTTTTTTT